CATAATACCTGCTTCACTCACCCAACTCCAAAGAGCTGTCATTCACTGTAAATTGGGGTATGTATTATTTTTATCCAGTCTATAAACTCCTGCATGCAAGCCAAATTCTAAACCCAGAGCATCTGTACTTTATCTAGTGTGCCATGGTAAATACCTGGGAAATGGAAAGTGACTCTACTCTAAGGCAGAACTAGACACAAAGCATCTTTTCACGTGACTCAGAAAACTATAAAGACAGGAAAGAGATTTTACATTAACTGAGATGCAAACATTTGGAGCATTCTGAGAAGAAAGTTATCTCTTATCATAATCCAATATATCTTCCCGTAGCAATGTTCCAACATAATTTAGGGGGCTGTTTATCATATGATGACCCACTTAACTAAATTTTTTGTTTGTTAAAAAAATATATGGTGAGTACCATTCAGAAATTATAAATGGCACTCCCATCCTCTTTTACCAACTGCATTTCCCCACCCCCTTGAATTTCATAAATAAGATGAGATATCTATATTTGCACGGTTCCGTGAAGAAGGCTACAGAGTCCTATCAGAATAGCTCCCTTTGTTGAGGCTCTACTGGGTTTAGGAAACTGCTCTGGTCACTTGGATGCATTTTTCTCCCAGATTCTCACTACAATTCAGCAAGTCTGGCATTATGACCTTCAGTCTTAAAAGAAAGGAAAACAGAAGCTCAGCTAAGTTAAATCACTTCTCCAGGGTCACACAGCTAGTAAGGCGGAGCTGAGGACCAAGTGTAGCCCTCACAGTATTTCAGCAGCTAACATTCAGAAAGGCATGCCCGTGAATGTCTTGTAGGCTTGGGAGACTCCTCTTTTGAGGCAGCTGCTATCAGTAGTATACCCACTGGGATACTATACAGCAGCAAAGTAAGACACATTCTCGGTCTTGTCACTTGCCATCCATGGCCTCATGTGCTGTCATGAACTACCTCTTCATTCTAGACTTAAAATAACTTGATACCTTCTCCCTCTTGAGTCATGGCTGCCAACCCTTCTGCCTCATCAATAGCTCATCTCACGTCAGCCATGCCAGACACTTTCCTCTAAACATGGAGAGACTAAACTGGGGGTGGGAGTGCTTAAAGATTCTGTTTGTTTCCATGTCAGAGATTCTTTTTTTTTTTTTTTTTGTCTTTTTCGTTTTTATCAGTACCGGGGATCAAACTCACGACTGCCTGCTTGCAAGGCAGGCACTTATGTCACTGAGCTAAATCCCCAGCCCCCCATGTCAGAGATTCTTATGATTTTTTTGACAGCATATTCCACTCTCTGGCTGGAATGTCTCTCCTCAAAACCCAGACTGGTGCTCCCATCCCAGCAATGCTATGTAGATATATCCTTTTCTACCTGTTATAACTTTAGCAATGTGAAATGCAAGTGATCCATATGTTCGCTCTCATGTTTTGTAGTCTATGAGTCACACTAATTTTAGGTCTATAGAAGCCCCAGTTTTTGACCTTGGGGAAGTCCCTATTTCTCTAACGAGGATCAAACAGAGCCTCTGCATAAATAGATCTGTGGTTTTATGATCAATCACTCTTCCCTCATTGCTGTGAGATGTTATTGGTTAATTGCAGTTTCCAGGGTTTCCATAAAATGCTCTGTCACTGGGACTCCCGTAATCTCATGCAGAAGTATAGGCATCAGATCAATAGGCATCCTTAGAGAACTTTTCATTCAGTGCACACATTCTGCTGATAAGGAAATTAAAACCCAAGGAGGTCATGAGTTGTCCAGGTCCAAGGAAACCCAAGACCAGAAGTGAAGGCTCCGTTCCCAGTTCAGTGAATACTACCTCTGGCCTCTAGGTCAGAAATAGACCTTTACACTCACAAACCAACCCCCTTTTCCGTGTGTGTGTGTGTGTGTGTGTGTGTGTGTGTGTGCGCACGTGCGTGCATGCGTGTGGATTCTAATGTGTTCATTATGACACAATCATTCACCAGAGGTGGGTGGTCCCTATTTTCCTCAAAAAAACTCATACAGTGTTGGAAGCACTTTCTCTGCCTGAGAATTACGATTGATCGGAACACATCCAAATTTTCTGGGCACCGGAGAAAAGTGCCTTGTTCAAAGTTATCAGGCAAATGAGGGGTAGAGGCAGAAGTGGAACTAGAGAGCTCCAGAGAGACATGCAAAGATAATGGACTGTGACAGGCTGTCCATGGAGTCCTTCTGGCTTCCTGCATTCCAGGTGGACATCCTCCTCTGTCAGATTGATTGATTGAGGCACCAGTGCAAACACCGTCACAAATCCCCAGCACATGGATACAGTTGCAGGTTTATTTCTCAGAGGCTGTGGCTCAGAATACAGCCTACCCCCTTGCAAGCGTAAGTGGAGCTGCCACCTGGCAAGGCCAGGTAAGCAGGACCCTAATAAACCAGTTTCACAAGCACTGGGATATAAGCAAAGAAAATGGAGACAGGCGGAGAAGAGAGCTTGCATTTGTTTTTCTCTGGGTTTTTGGCTGTTCCTTAAACAAATCTGACCCTAGGTGTAAGCTTGCCCCTTTCTAGTCCCAGCCTCCCTGGATATAAAATACTACATGTTTGGCAACTGCTTTGAAAGTTATTAAAGTTGCAGCAGTAAACTATGGGAGGCCAGAGAATTTCAGACAAAAGTTATTGCATCAGTAACTCAGAAACTAATTCCTAAACTCTTGACACATTTATCCAGAGGGCTAGTGCCAATATAGAAATGGAAATCATTGTCAAGGGCCACCGTGTACCTGGAATTAAAATCCATCACTCCTTGGAGCAGAGGGCTACGATTTGGGCAGAATATGAATACTCAACCTTTACTACCATCTTGCCTCAAAAATAGGATCCTTTGGGTTTCAGAAGAACAAGACAAATTCTGTTTTGTTTTCTGTAAGAACCCCTCGTTTACATTTTCATTTCAAATATTTCTTTCTTTGACAGTACCACATTTAAACCGAAAGGCCTCCTTTTCCTCCTTCAGTTGCACAGGTTTTATTCTGGATAGAAATCCTTCTGGGTACAGTAACAGAACAAACTTTACAGCAGCAATAAGCCCTTCTACGGCATCTATTGTGGAGAGACTTAATACACTTTTATTAAATGGCCGAAGAGTTGACTCCAGTGGTCTGAATTAACTACAGAAGAGCACAGAGAAAGGATAAAGTACCTCCTTCATTCTGTACATGCCTACTGCATGCACAGCTGCATGCCAGGGGCCAGAGACAAAGCTGTCACCCAAATAGCACCTCCTTGACAGCTCAGTGATTTCCTTAAGTAATACTTTCCTCTGCTAATCAAAAGTTAGCAGAGATAGAGATTTGACATGATCCAGTGTTAGCAAGCAACAGAGGAAATGGTCATTCTGATTCACTTGGGGAAGACTGACTATGCTTTTGAGTTCACTTGGGCATATACTTAGACTCTGATTCAGACTTTTGTCCTAAGGCTCTATTGAGATAAACATATATAGTGTCAGTGTGATCATGCACAGGAGAAATAAAAAACAATGGACCTTTGTTAAAAATACCATCAAGTAAATGATGTCATAATCTATATTTATTGCTTCATGACACATCTTTGATGGGGCCAGTGGAATCACAGAGAAGCATAAGTAGGATGGTCTCATTTATGTAAAATGACAGCGGACAGGTTGTTCACCAAGGTGGTGACCGTGGTTATAGGGCACTATGGGTAGCTTGCCTTTTTTACCTGCTTTTCTGATCTGTTCAGTTTTTAAAAGTTTTTTACAATGATCGTTATTCTATATTTAGGGAATAAGATCAAACATTTTAAATAAAATTTAAGTTTGGGGAAAATTTAGATTTTCCCAAAATTTCTTACCAGTTATCCTACCCTACCAGGACTGGGGATATGGCTCAGTTCCTGCCTGGAAAGTGTAGTTTGATTCCTGATACAAAAAAAAATCTTTTAACACTTCCACACCTAAGCCTAGCCATAAGAAAACAAGAAAATGTTGTGATGATTTTGTGGGTGTATACTCAAGCCACAACACCAATCTGCACACTTTAATTCATCAAATTATATATTTTAGTACATGTAATTTATTGTATATCAATTATATGTCACTAAAATTGGTCGAAGAAAGAAAATATGAAACAATACAAGTAATTTCAATTTGCCACATGAAATTGTTTGTGTGTTGTATGTGTATACATTTGTATATACATAAACACAATTTTATGAGCATACGTATATATGTATATACACATATCGGTGTTGAAAAATATACATTGGATGTTCCAGACAGTGACAGGAGGCTGGCCTAAAGGTTAATAGCATGAGCAGGGTGTAAAAACGTTCATTTAGCTTATTCTCTCTTCTCTGATGGTGTCAGCGTCCTTGATTGCAGATGGATGCAGAGTTCACCATTTGACCTGCTTCCATCTTCTTCTGTCTGTACCTTTTTGCAAAGTCTGTGTCAATCTTAGGTACCTTTTACCCCAAAATACATGCTTCGGTGCACTTTAATTTTGCTGCAGTAAATAAATAACTCTTGCTAGTGCCCCTTAAGTACCTATATACCAAACCTGAGGGTTCTGAGACTTTACTAAAGATAAAACTCCAATAACAAAGTGTTCTTTCCAGAGATAATTATAAATAGAATGGTAAATATTTTGAAAACTTTCCCTTGACTCTGCTGCTGCTTTTTCTCAGGTATATGTTGTTTTCCCTTATAAGAGTAGCTACTGAAATAGTTCAAATATCTAAAGTTGATTTAAAAATAATATAGCAAAAGAAATGCCATTTCCCTGGTGGTATTTTTGAATGGGCTTGAAAACTGTGTCTAGAAGTGAGTTTGCTGGACAAGAAGGAAGCACGGGCTACATGTTGCTCTCCCCATCCTCGGCGCCTGGGGTGCCCATGAAGCTGTGAGCCTCACGGTCACTGCAGGAGAAGGGGGGTCTCTCTGCAGGTGAAGCCTGATTCTGATCACTGTTTTTCTGTGCTTTTCACCTCTGCTCTCCTATGCAAGCAGCTGGACAGTGCTGCATGGAAGAATCGGGCGCCCAGAGCACCCCTTCCGAGTGGCCCTGGAATACGTCTCCAGTGGAAACCGAAGCCTGTCTGCAGTGGACTTCTTTGCTCTGAAGAACTGCAGTGAAGGTATCTAAACATGCCTTTCTCCTTCACTCCGTGTTGTCTTAAGGGTGTCAGTAACGTGCTGCTGTGCTTTGCTGGGTACGTGTACATACAGTGTGTGGGAGCTGGTTCTGAATATTACCAAGCGCACTACAACCTAGAAAACTAATTTCCAAAGATTCAGAATAAAATCATATCTATTTAACCTCACCAAATAAAACACGGTCTTTTTGGATGACATTCTTAACTTCCGTGGCTGTCAAATACCTTCACCTATTTTTTTACAAATATTTTATTATGGAAAATTTTTAATATATACCAAGTAAATAGAATGGTACTTACTATGGTCCTTCAAGTACCTGCAACCCAATTTCAACAATTATCAGCATTCCGCAATTTTTATTTCATTTATATCTCTACCCATTCCTCACCCTTGCCATGACTTCACGACATTTACAGATTGTGCTTTCCACTCTCGAGATAGAATTTACAACTAACCATTTTTAATGATTGTATTTAAGATATTATTCATTTTGTAAAATCCATTGAGACATGGTCTCCTACGCCGTTGGGTTCCTTTTGCATAATTCTCCCATTATGAATTTATTTCAGGATCTATAAGTACAGTATTAACCAAGAGAAAGGCTATCTCTCCTGAAGAGTAATTTGTTGCTTTTCTTTTCCTGTTTACTTTAGTTAGCAGGAAATTCTGAAGTAAATGTCATACACCAGTAGTTTTATCAGTGTATGTTTTTGGTAAGCTTTTTCCCTTTCCGACACAGTCTTTGATCTTCCATTCCTGTTTTCAAAAAAAATATATTTATCTTTCATTAAACATTGCCTCTAGGCTAATTTGTAAACAGGATGACATGGATCATCAGTAGATACGAGGCTGATCTTTCCTTGGTTCTTCAGTATGCACGAACTCCTGACTATAAAATCCTTTATTATTTCACAGCCAATTTCTTTACTGCCACACTCCTGATATTCTTGCTTCTGCCTGGAGACTCCTGATGGACACTGTCACCTGTCCTTGGAAACTGTGGCCTGAGAGGCCCAAGGATGAACCAAGGACAGGAAGTGTGGGAATTTAGACTACTCATAAACATCCATGAAGGCCTATAACATAGAGTAGTCATCTGGATTTGAACCTATCGCTGTTAGAGGTGGTATAAGACAGCAACTCCTTTAGCTAGAGAATCCCCAACCACCCTGATCCTTAAACTGCTATGGTTCTTCATTCAGTGCTAGCCTTAAAAGAACATTCACAAATGTATTTTGTTGTTCTTGTTCTTTTAATCAAAACTAGTTTACATGTAGGGAAAGGAAAAATCACCGGAATGTGATAGATTGAACTTCAGTTCAAATTGAAAAGGTAGTTAACCTGTGAGATGAGGCAAGATATGAGAAAAATGTGGTTTGGAAGCAAGCCAGGAGTTTGTTGAAATGTTTCTCTGCTCATGAGCTTAGAGATCATGAGCAAAAATCATCAAGATTTGCAGACTGCCAGGGTCTACATACCGTCCAAAAGAGTCCATCTGTTGAAATAGAATCAGTTAACAGGAGTTTAACAGAGAAAAATAGCAGTTTCTAGAATTGACCAAATCTCATTTCATCAAATTAGGAGAAGGAAATAAGAGAGAACAAAAATCCAGATATCAGGTCCAACACAAATACTGCAAAAATTTCTTGCATATTCAAATTAAGAATGTCAGCCAGTTATACCAATACATCTTTTACCTTGCAATTCCCTTTTACCTACGAAATTTTTCCTCTGTACTTTCTGTTGCATTTGCATCCTATTATGGAGTCTAAGAGACCTACTCCTTGTTTGCTTCTCTGATCTTAGGAAACCCAGGAGCTGGCCTTTCTAAACTTTATCTAGTGACCTAGAAAATTGCTGCTGTGCAAGAAAGTTTTGCAGTATTTTTGTTGGACCTGCACTCAGTCCCTTTCAGGAGAAGGAAGACAGGTCTGCTTCTGAGTCCTTAGGGAAAGCATCCTGGTCAAGAATCCTGACGACATTCTCATTCTGATGGTGCAGCTGCCACTTTCCAGGCTCCAGGTCCAGAGGCCCAGGTCCAAGTACAGATGGTCTTCATGGAGAAACATTCATTTTCTACACTCCTTTTCACTCTGAAACATCTTAGCCATGAAGGAAAGTAGAGATATTAGTGTGGTTGTATAAGAAAGAAATCAGAGGATAACAAAGCAATCTCAGAGTTTCCTTAAAGCATCCAACTCTGTCTCCATAGTGGGACAAATTTGCATGATATAGTCAAGTTTCAAACACAGGAAGCATCTTAAAACTGTACTCACATATTTAAAGAGAATGAGAGTTCTGAGGGATTGAGGCATGTTTAAGGTCTATGTGATGATGTAACAAGCGTCTAAAGTATATGCATTCCTTGCTTTGGGTAAACCATGAAAAAGAAGAGAGGAAAAGAAATAAGAATTATCTCCGAGGGATGGACAGGACCAGTGACATGCCACATGGCTGTTGATTGATCTGCAAGGTGTCTATCTTCGGATAATAACTTGGTCCCCTCATGATGAGTATACACAACCTGTGAGGAGAAATACAGCCATAGAGCTCGACAGCTCTTTCTTGGCCTGCATCAAGACAGGGACCATTTTATTTAATCCAGAGAAGCACTACAGGAGATCCTGAGGACAATTCTCCCTACATGGGACACAGTATCCTTTTCTTTAATTTTATTGGTACATTTTAGATTTATATAGTGATCACTTTGATCACGGGGAATTTGTGTATAGAGTGTATCTTGACTCTTTTCCCTAATCCCCTCCTCTTCATTAATCCTTCTTCCTCTCTTTATTTACAAAAGCTTTGTTTCTGTTTTTCCTTCTATTTTTTCCTTTCCTTTCCTTCCATTCCTCCTCTCTCTTCCTTGCTTTCCTTCCCATTTGAACATTTTCTTCCCAGAGACACTGTCTGACCATGACTGGCCGCAGGACACAGGTCTATTTCCACTTTAAATCTTCACATGGGTCATAATGTGCACACACAATAGATGCTCAGTTAATACAGGCTATTAGTAATGAATGCTAACCTTGATAGATCTCACACGTGCCAAGGCAAGGTGTCAGCCCTTTACCTGTGCTGCACCATGCAAACTTCTCTACTGTAATGTTGCATCTCAGTTACTTTCTCAGCACTGAAACACAATACCTGACACCCATAGTTTAAAGGAAAAAGGTTTATTTTGTCTCACGATTTGTAGAGGTTCCAAGCCATAGTCCACTTGCTCTAGACCAGGACAGCATGATACAGGAGCACAGCAGAGGAAAAGCTGCTCACATTACGTTGGCAGGGAAGCACAGAGAGTCAAGGAAAGAGCCAGAAAGGAAGAGATACCCTTCCAGATCACACTCTCATCGGCCCTACTCCTCCTACACACCCCACCTTCTAACAGCAAGTCAGTTGTAATGCCCCTGTAATCCAATTGTCATCCTAACATATGAAGCTTTGGGGGACCAAAACCATAAAATGCTGTGAAGCATGATCTATTCTCATTTTTCAATAAGGAAGCTAAAGCTCATGGAAGCTTCAAAAACCTTTGAAGGCATTCAGTCAGCAAGAAAACCAGATCCTAAGTTGATCAGACCACAGAGCCATGTTTGCTGTCATTGTGGGAAGCATAAAGCTGAGGTTTCACTTCTTAGTGGAAACGTTAGGTCATGTTTGGCTGTTTCTGTTCCTCTGATCTCTACACCTCCATGGCCATCACTTCAAACACTGAACTTGTTGCTACCCTGGATTCTACCTGTTGTTGTCCAAGTGCTACTTTGCTCTCTTTGAAATTGACCCTGATGGATTCATTTTCTTAGCCAGGAGCCCTATTCTTCTCGTATTCTTCAAAAAATGATAACTTTGACCTTGACAGTAGACGTTGGTGTCTCTAAACCATTGCTGCACACACACACACACACACACACACACACACACACACATACTGCCAGTTTCTCTGTGTTCCTTTTCTTTATGGTATTTTCATGAAATATCAATAACATCTTATTGCCTTCCATGTCAGAAGTAGTGAAAACTGGGGGCTGCCATGGACCATGCTCTGATGTCCAATTGCCAGTGTTACGGCTTGTGTCTGGATGTCCCCCAAAAGCTTCGTGTGGGCACGGGTGGACTTTTCAGAAGTGGCTGGATCTAGAGTGTGTGATGCTGGGATCAAGGGTTTTGATTACTCATCTAGCTCATTGATTGGTTTGGCATGGTTCCGGGTGTAGATCATGGGAAGGCACTTGATACTTTGCTGCTTTGCTGACTTCTGCCTACCACGAACTGTTTCTCTTCTACAATGCCCTTCTGCCATGCCACTCTGCCTTGGTGCCAGTCATCTGAAAACTGAAATCCCCATCAACTGTAAGCTATAATAAGCTTTTCCTTCTTTAAATGTGTTGACATTTTATCTCAGCAATGAGAAAAGTAACTAAGGCATTGGGAAACAATCATTTATAGGTATTTTGCTCCGAAGACATTGTTGTCTCCATCTAAATTCAGTGGCTACTTTGTAATCATTTCATAGTTAGTCAATTTGCAACTCTAACTTGAGATCTGAAGTGTGTCCTATATTTCTGTTCTTTCTCAAGGGAGGAGTTAGCACAGTGTTAACCACATAGGAAACATCATAGAAATACTTGTTGACAGGTTGGTCAATCAGTCAATTAATAAATGTTGTCCTGTTTTACTGCCTTAGGCTTTGCACCACTACTTCCAAAGCAAAGTAGTTGTGAGTAGGAATTTCTTGGGGAAGTTTTCTCCCTGAAAAGTCAATGAAAGGACAGTTTGCACTTTCAGCAGAGCCAAGAGAGAGACAAAATCCAACCCCTAGTGCACTTATAAAAACCTATCTTCACCTGAGCAATAGGACTGCAGGTCCCTCATGAGGACTGCTCAGCTTCAGAGATGTCTGCAGGAAGACATAGGTCAGGCGGGCAGGGCTGGCTTCCTGGAAAGGATTAAACAAGGATCAGTGTGCAGCTGCTAAACA